GACAGGGTCACGAGCGTTACTTCCTGCTGGTTGACGACTACTCGCGTTACACCACAGTCTTCCCCTTGCGCAGCAAGGGTGAGGTCCCTGAGGTGTTGATCGACTGGATCCGCGGTGCTCGTTGCCAGCTCAGTGAGAGTTTTGGTTCAGACCTTCCTGTTCTGCGTCTGCACTCGGACAGAGGTGGGGAGTTTTCCTCCGACCTCCTGAGGACCTTCTGTCGTTCGGAGGGCATCCGCCAGACGTTCACGCTTCCGGCCTCCCCGCAGAAAAATGGGATTGCTGAGCGCCGCATTGGCATGGTCATGGACGTCGCTCGTACGTCCATGATCCATGCGGCTGCTCCCCATTTTCTGTGGCCGTTCGCGGTTCAGTACGCTGCGCATCAAATCAACCTTCAGCCTCGTGTCTCCTTGCCGGAGACCACACCTACTTTGCGGTGGACGGGGAAGGTTGGCGATGCGTCCGCGTTCCGTGTCTGGGGATCTCAAGCTTTTGTCCGCGATACTATGGTGGACAAGCTGTCCTCCCGTGCCGTTCCCTGTGTCTTCCTTGGCTTCCCTCCTGACGCACCCGGGTGGCAGTTCTACCACCCCACCTCGCGTCGTGTTCTGTCCTCTCAGGACGTCACGTTTGACGAGTCGGTGTCGTACTACCGTCTCTTTCCCTACCGCACTGCCTCTCCCCCCCCCCCGCCGCTCTTCCTTGCCCCAGGTACTCCCCCGGTAGACCCCCTCCCCCCCCCAGGGTCCTGCCCCCTCAGGTGTGTCCCAGGTAGACCCTGCTGAGCCGGTCGAGGTAGCTGTCGACTCAGGTGCTGAGTCTTGGGGTGCTGAGCCTGCGGGTGCGGGGACTGGGGGTGCTGAGTCTGGGGGTGCTGAGTCTGGGCGTGCTGAGTCTGGGGGTGCTGAGCCTGGGCGTGTGGAGCCTGAGGGTACTGTGTCTGGAGGTGCTGAGCCTGTGCGTGCTGCGTCTGGAGGTGCTCTCGGTGTCCCGCCGCGGCGGGAGCCTCTCTCTCCACAGCAGCTTTGTGAGTGGTACTCTCGGCGCTGTCGGGGTGCTGCTGGAGCTGCTGGAGGTACTACTGGGGCTTCTGGAGGTGCTGCTGGTGCAAGAGCTGCTGGAGGTGCTGCTGGTACTGGAGGTGCTGCTGGAGCTTCTGGCGGTGCTGCTGGTGCTGGTGGTGCTACTAGTGCTGGTGCTGCTGGAGGTGCTGCTGGTGCTGGAGGTCCTGCTGCTGCTGGAGCTGCTAGAGGTGCTGCTGGTGCTGGAGGTGCTGCTGGAGCTACTGGAGGTGCTGGCGCTGCTGGAGGTGCTGCTGCTGGTGGAGCTTCTGGAGGTGCTGGGGGTGCTGCTGGGACTGGAGACCCTGGGGCTGAGGGTATCGGTGCTGTCTCTGCTGTTTCTGGAGGCGCTACGCGGCCGCGGCCGTACTACGTTCCGCTCCTTCAGCAGGTTCTTGGCTCCCCGCCTTCTCCTGGTCCTCCTCCTTTCCTGAGTCCGCCGCCTGTCCAGTCTCAGTTACAGTTGCAGCCGGCCTCTCCACTGCCCGGTCCTTACTCTGGACCGACTGGCGGTCTTACGGAGCGTCGTGAGCCTGAGTCTCGTCCTGTGTCGCCTGCGTCTCGTTCTGCGTCGCCTGTCCGTGCTGTTCGCGCTGGTCGTGTTTCGCGTCCGCGTCTCCCTCCTGTCCCGGGCACTCACTCTATAACTCTGCGTCCTTCTACTGCTCCACAGCGTGTTCCTCTTCCGTCTCCTCCTGCGTCCTCTCTTCCTGACGGTCCGGACCCGGAGTCTGACTCCCTTCGTGCTGCTAGTCCTGCTGTCCCGCGCTTTCTGGCCACTGCTGTCACTGACCCTCTGCTTGAGTCCTCTACAGCGTCTGCTCTTGTTGCTGAGCTTGTTGACTTTGCTGCCGCCTGTCGCCTAGACTACGCCACTGCTCTTGTTGTTGCGTCGGCGTCTGTGTCTGTCTGTCCTCTGTCCGTCGGGGGTGAGTGTGCTCTTGGCACGGACGTTCTTGAGGACAGACAGGAGGAGTCTGAGTGCTTTGCTGCTTCTGTACCTATCTCGTGTCCATGCTGCTGGCCCCTGAGGGAGACCCGGATGCACTAGACATCCCGACCCCGCGCTCTTACGCAGAGGCGATAGAGGGTCCCTACTCCTCTCAGTGGCAGGCAGCCATGGACGCAGAGATGGCTTCCTGGAAGTCCACAGGCACCTACGTAGACGAGGTTCCCCCACCTGGGGCGAACATCGTCAGTGGCATGTGGATCTTCAGGGTGAAGCGGCCGCCGGGTTCTCCGCCTGCCTTCAAGGCACGTTACGTTGCACGTGGCTTCAGTCAGCGACAGGGAGTTGACTTCTTTCAGACCTTCTCCCCTACCCCGAAGATGACCACTCTTCGGGTACTGCTGCACGTTGCTGCTCAGCGTGACTACGAGCTCCACTCGCTTGACTTCAGCACAGCCTTCCTACAGGGCTGCCTGCACGAGGAGATCTGGCTGCGCTGCCCACCTGGCTTCACTGGGTCGTTTCCTGCTGGTACCCAGTGGAGCCTCTGGCGGCCAGTCTACGGTCTCCGCCAGGCGCCCCGTGAGTGGCACGACATGCTCAGGACGACTCTTGCTTCTCTTGGTTTTGCTCCTTCCACTGCTGACCCTTCTCTGTTTCTACGCACTGACGCTACTCTGCCGCCGTTCTACGTTCTCGTGTACGTAGACGACCTCGTCTTTGCTACTGCTGACACGGAGGCACTCGCCCACGTAAAGTCCGAGCTGCAGAAGAGACACACGTGCACAGACCTGGGTGAGCTCACAAGCTATCTTGGCTTGCGGATCACCCGGGACAGAGCACAGCGCACCATTACCTTGACTCAGTCACACATGGTGCAGCAGGTCCTTGTGAGCAGTGCTAGAGGTGCCGCAAGGGGTGTGTGAAAGAGGGGTGAGACAGTTAGAGGGAGGTTGGGCGGAGGCAGCCGTCGTGACGCCAGGAGCGCCAGTAGTCCGGAGGCTACAATCTCCGGTAGCCCAGCGAGCCTGCTGCGCTAGTCGCCCGTGGGTCCGTTGCTCCTGCCGCTCAGAGTTAGCCGCGGAGCCAGTTACTCCAGTAGTCCGGAGGCTACAATCTCCGGTAGCCACAGTGCGCGCCGCTCCTGTTGCCCGTGTATCTGCAGCTTCACCCGTCGTCTCCTATCTCCACTCCTCTCAAAGTCCCTCCTCCTCCTCACTTACCGTCTGTGACTGCCTCTAGCTTTGCTTATTACTGTCAACTATTGCTCTGCTTGCTTGTTGTGCTGATCATACCCCACTTTGACTATGGGGGTGTGTCAGAATATGTTATATTTGTCTAGCCTGCAGTGGGGTACTCAATAGTGAGTACTGCCCAATTTAGGGTTTGCTATATGTACTCAACTGCCTGCTAGTGAAACCCCTCTTCTCTGTTTCATTCATTCGTTCCATATTCTAACATGTACCCCTTATGGGCTACCCCATTACAGCCTACACAAATGTATAAGCTATAATGTTCTGACATACGCAGCTTTTGACGCGCCGATATAGAAGCCGCGATCGGCTCGAAGCGCGCCCGAAGCCCTGCGCACCACGCATCCCACGTGCTGTACTGGGCGATCTCGCAGAACGAACTCCAGGTGACGGCTGGCCCTGTGGGCCCTTCCTCTTGCGACGGTGGCTCGTAGGCGCGTGGCGACGTCACAATGACTCGCTACCAATCCATGGCGGGGCCCCGTAGTAGCGAAACAGCGTATCGTATCTTCGCCGCTTCCGACTCGACGTAATTCGCGTCGAAGAAGACGTTCATCGTGAAGACCCATGATTGAACTGTCAGACCTCCACGCTGGCTAGGATCAAAGCAAGGCGGGCGTTGTGGTTTGAGCGGCATTGGTGCGACGATGCTGCCGTTGCCACTCGTCGCTGCAAATTCGACGTGACGACGGGCTTCGTGAGGCCCATTCGTGCTTGGTGCGGCCCTGTTTCTCTCCATGCCAGGCATTGACTTGGCGGCACCCTCACTGGCTGCTCCTGAGCGCTGTCCCACGCTGTCGTGTTGTGACGGTGTGCCGGGCGAGATGATGATCGGCTCATCCGATTGCGCAGGTGCATTTGCAGATGTCGGTGTTGGTGCTGGTGCATTCGCCCTTGATTGCTGGCGGGCGGAGTCGCGTTCCACCGTGCGTGTCGCGATTTCGAGCGCCGAATCTTCGAGTTGGTGTACGAGCCGGTCGAGTTGCTCATGCGTTAACGTCGCGAGATTGAATTCCGCCATGGCGGGGGTGTCGGGCAGGCTCAGCGAGGGCCTCGGTCGTGGCCGTGCTTGCTTTGGAGAGAGCACTTCGAGCGACGGTGCCTGAACGCTGAGAGACGTCTACCCCCTCCAAAAAATGAGATAGTGGGGAGGCGAAGGTGTAGGTGCGGTCCGAGAAGAGATCGTAGGCTCGGAATACCAAGTGTTACGAGTGCAATTGAGCGAGCGAGCGAGAATTGCACTATCGAAGCAAACAGTCCAATGAGCGAAGGAATGAGTGAACAATATATAGCGAAGCTAGCGTGGTAACGGTAACGCGAGAAATTGGGGTGCACTACGGGCCTAGCGCCGAGGTTGGGAAATGTTGAGGCGGAGGTCTGGAGCACAGGTTACCAACCGAACCGCGAGGTTGGGTCGAGTCGTGAACAGTGGCGGGAACAGTGGTCGAGGCGAGTAGTAACGGTGTACTGTTGGCGGGAGCAGTCATGTACGCGGTAAGCAGGGGCGCGAAGTAAGGAAAAAGATTTTTCCTTACAGTTCGCATATTTTCTGGCTATATACAAAATGGAAAACATGCATTGGCTTTATAGATTAATTATCGGGTCATTCATTGAAGCAAACCACTTGCTCGTGGCACGCTTCACTTTCTCGTCATAAACCTGGCTCATCTCTGGCAGATTCGTTCCATAGCGCCCCGCGGCGCTAAAGAGTTATCAGCTCATGCCACGGAGCAGATGGGGAGCGAAATGGGGAGCGGAAGAGTTTCCGCTCATGCCCTCCCTGCGGGAGGTCAGGGCGCAAACGAGCTCAGGGCGCAAGAGAGGTCGGCGCGCGGAATGGGGGGAAAGCCGCGGGGCGGCAAGGGGGCGACGGGTGGAGGGGAATCCGCTTCAGCAGCGGCGGCGGCGGCGCATGGGGGGAGCGGGGGGGAGAAGGCTAGGATGGCGGACGGTGCCGGGCAGAAAGGGCGCGGTGGGGGAGGCGCAGGGGAGAAGGGTCGAGGGCGGGAAGGATCGGGGGTAATGGGGCGGACGGCGGAGGCTGCGGAGGCGGCGGAAGTGGCGGTGTCGCTGGGGGTGACGGGGCACGCGGGGCACCTCGAGATCATCCCCGTCCTTCCTGCTCGTGCGCGCCTCCAACTTCCGCTCCCCATTTCGCTCCCCATCTGCTCCGTGGCATGCTACCTTTCCATAGCGCCCCGCGGCGCTAAAGAGTTTCCCCATCTGCTCATGCCCTCATGCCCTCCTGCCCTCCTGCCCTCCTGCCCTCCTGCCCTCCTGCCCTCCTGCCCTCATGCCCTCCTGCCCTCCTGCCCTCCTGCCCTCCTGCCCTCCTGCCCTCATGCCCTCCTGCCCTCCTGCCCTCATGCCCTCCTGCCCTCCTGCCCTCATGCCCTCCTGCCCTCCTGCCCTCCTGCCCTCCTGCCCTCCTGCCCTCATGCCCTCCTGCCCTCCTGCCCTCATGCCCTCCTGCCCTCATGCCCTCATGCCCTCATGCCCTCATGCCCTCCTGCCCTCCTGCCCTCATGCCCTCCTGCCCTCCTGCCCTCCTGCCCTCATGCCCTCCTGCCCTCCTGCCCTCATGCCCTCCTGCCCTCCTGCCCTCCTGCCCTCCTGCCCTCCTGCCCTCCTGCCCTCCTGCCCTCCTGCCCTCATGCCCTCCTGCCCTCCTGCCCTCCTGCCCTCCTGCCCTCCTGCCCTCATGCCCTCCTGCCCTCCTGCCCTCATGCCCTCCTGCCCTCCTGCCCTCCTGCCCTCCTGCCCTCCTGCCCTCCTGCCCTCCTGCCCTCCTGCCCTCATGCCCTCCTGCCCTCATGCCCTCTTGGCCTCATGGCCTCATGGCCTCATGCCCTCATGGCCTCATGCCCTCATGGCCTCGTGTACCCCCGTGCCATCTTGCTCTCTTGCTGCGCAGCCTCCCTTCCCTGCGTCACCTCTTGCCCGCACGGCCACTCCGCACCGAACCCCCTTCTCCATTACCTTCAACTCTGCATTATCCCGCCAGCACTCACGGCCAGTCGTTTCATCTCCCCTGCACCTCTTGCTTCATTCAGTCCCTTTTGAAGCAGGAGCAGCCAACCAATCAACCCATTCCTCCTCCACCCTCCTTCCACGTTCGTCTCAATCCTTCTCTCCCAACCTCTTTCCCGACCCTGCAGCCCAAGCCTCCCTTCTCCGAGCCTCTGGACGTTCGGGATCTTCCAGAGCTGTGCCCTCTGGCCGTGTGGGATGACGTGGAGCGCCAGCTGGCGTCGGAGCCGCAGGAAGACGCCATGTGGAAGTACGACTGGATGCCACATGGCGCCCTGTCCGCCGTGATACCTGGAGGGCTGGGCAGCGTGCTGCAGCCAGCGTGGCACCCTCCCTGGGTGGAGGAGTGGGGGGACGGCCCGTGGGGGGAGGTTGAGGGGGAGGGGAAGGGGATACAGGAAGGGGAGGGCGAGGGTGGGGAGGAGGAAGGGGTGGTGAGTCGACCAGAGCAGGTGGACGAGGTGAGGTGCTGCCGGCCTGCCGCCCATATGATATGCGTCCTCGCCCCCCCCTCCCGTTGCCCTCTTGGCGGCCTTGGCGCCTTAGTCCCCATTGTGACCTCGTTTTTCCTCCCACCTTCATCTTCCTCATGTCATGTATGTCGAACGAACCCTACCTGCCCCTTCCGTTCTCTCCTCTCCCCCATCCCCGCAGCTGTTCTCCCCCCCAGGCATGATTTGGATCTCACCCACCCGCTCAACACCCCCTCGTCCCTCCCCCTCTTCCCCATCCTCTCCCCTTCCCCTTCAGCTGTTCTTCCCTGCGGGCTCATATCTCGATCTCACCCGCCCGCCCCCCTCTGCTCTAGAGCTCGTCCGGGGCATCACTGCCACGCCGTTCACCCCTTGATCCTCTCCTCCCTCCCCCTTCCCCTTTCCGCTCCCCCACCACCCCCCAGCTGTTCTTCCCCCCGGGCACGTATCTTGACCTCACCCGTCCGCCCCCTTCCTCCCTGGAGCTCGTCCGCGGCACCACTGCCGGTGCCGCCCACCCCCTCGCCCTCTCCTCGCACCTGGCCCCCCACGCTGCCACTGCTGCTGCGGGTGATGATGCAGGGGGGTTGCAGCATGGGGAGGGGCAGGCGAGTGGGGGGAGAGGGGAGTCAGAAGAAGCGCTAGCGGCACTGTTCGCATACTTGGAGGGAGGGGCGGAAGGGGGTGGGGGAGGGGTTGGGGGAGGGGGAGGGGCAGGAGAGGCGAGGGGCGTTGGGGATGCGTCGCTGCTGTTGAGTGTGCCGCCCGGGTTCACTGAGGGCGGACGATTCGAGGCCAGGGAGGAGGTGAGAGTCATGGGTGGGCCTCTGTTTGAGGCGCTTAAAATTTTTGTGTCGTTGCTGTTGAGTGTGCCGCCTGGATTCACTGAGGGTGGACGATTCGATGTTAGGGAGGAGGTGAGACATGGGTGGGTGGTGGGATGAGAGATCTCTTGAGGATCGCATCGCATGTGGTTTTCAAGGGATGCCGCATGTCAAGGAGGGACCGCGATTTTCACAAGCCCTGCTCCTCCCACCCACCCGCCTGCTCTGCTCTCAACTCTACTTGCTTAGCAGAATGCAGCTCCTCTCCTCCTCCTGCCCTTGTGCCGAGCCGACACACGCGAGCAAGCCCAGACAGTCTGAGTCTCCCCATGCTTTGATTGAGGCACTTCAAGAACCGTCCCTTGAGGAACATCCCTTGTGCAAATACACACAGACAATCCGAACCGAAGCTCCCCGTGTCCCCTTACCTTCTGTCAGAATCCCAGCCACTAGACCATTGGGATAAAAAGGCTTGTTAAGTAGCGGGTCGGTGCGCCCATAACCCCTCAGGCGAACGCGCCTGTAACCCCCCTAGGATCAATCGGGCATCCACAGTGCAGATCTACTGACACCTTCCAGACACAACCTTCCTCTCAGACTCACCAACCTTCCTCTCAGACTCACCAACCTTCCTCTCAGACTCACCAACCTTCCTCTCAGACTCACCAACCTTCCTCTCAGACTCACCAACCTTCCTCTCAGACTCACCAACCTTCCTCTCAGACTCACCAACCTTCCTCTCAGACTCACCAACCTTCCTCTCAGACTCACCAACCTTCCTCTCAGACTACCAACCTTCCTCTCAGACTCACCAACCTTCCTCTCAGACTCACCAACCTTCCTCTCAGACTCACCAACCTTCCTCTCAGACTCACCAACCTTCAAGGCGTTGCTTCCCGCCTCACGAGGCCCCTTCTGATGCTTGCAACTTTTCCGTGCCTTTCTGTCCGCCTCACAGGGCACTGCTGCCACATTGGAGTCACTTTTGAGAACTCTCAAAGGTCGTTTATTTTTATGCATGCGGCTTTCCACTCCTCCCCTGTGCGCCTTACAGTGTGCTGCAGTGCAGACACACGAGGCCTCTTTTGATGAGGCAAGACAGCTGCTCGTCCCCCTCCCCTGTGCGCCTTACAGTGTGCCGCAGTGCAGACACACAAGGCGAGACCGCTGCTTGCTGTCTCCTGCCGCACCTCTCTTTTGAGAATTTCCAAAAGTGAATCCAGTGTGCGCCCTCTCCAACCCACCCACCCTACCCGGCCTCATCCCACCCACCCCCCCCCCCAGAGGGACATGCTGCCGCTCTCTCTGCTGCGTGCGCTGGCAACCCCCCCAAAGGAGGTTTCAGAGGTGCCTCCCAAGGAGGGCCAGGGTGCGGACACACGAGGCCTCTATTGACGCAGCGAGACAGCTGCTTGGCTGTTCCGCCCCCCCTGCTCCCTCTCAGTGATTTCAGTGTGCGCCCGTTTTCCAACCCACCCATCCCACCCACCCCCAGAGGGACATGCTGCCGCTCACTCTGCTGCGTGCGCTGGCAACCCCTCAAAAGGAGGTATCAGAGGTGCTTTCCAAAGAGGTGCAGGGTGCGGGCTCTGGAGGGGCAGCAGGGAGTGGCGCTGCTGGTGTGGATGGGGTAGAGGAGGGCGGCGAGAGAGGGCGCGAGGTGGGGGTGGAGGGAGGGGATGGGGAGGACGATGGGGGGGGAGAGGGGGAGAGCGGGAAGCTTGGGTTCGCAGATGTGTTCCAAACGGCGTGGGGTGCTGGGGGGGATGACGAGGAGGAGGACGAGGAGGAAGAGGAGGAGGAGGGAGAGGAGGAGGGAGAGGAAGAGGGAGAAGGGGAGGAAGGGAAAGAGGATGTGGGAGGAGGAATGGGCTCGGTGGAGATGGTTGCCTCAGCAGGTTCGTGGTGGCGGCAGGGCACATGGGGCACATAGGGCACATGGGGCACACAGGGCACATGGGGCCAGTGGGACCCACTCATGCATCCATCCCTTCACAGCTCACCGCCAACTCATCAATCTAAAGCCACTCCTTCCCTCCCTCTTCCCCTCTTCCCCACCCTCCCCACTCCGTCCCTCTGCCCCTCCCTCCCACAGCCACCTCACGACTGTCACCCCAAGGAGAGCGCAGTGGGAGGAAGGGCGGGGCGGCAGGGCAGCAGCAGTGGATGCACTGCACTGCTGGGGGCGGTCCTGCCCCGTTTCTCGTGATAAAATATTCGTTTTGAGACGTCTCAGAACAAATATTTTATCCCGCGGCCCTGTTTCTCACTGCCACATTGCCCCTCCCTCCCTCCACCCCTACCCCTCACAGCCTCCTTCCCCCTCGCCCGCCCTTCAACCCCAACCCTCCCCACTCCTCACAGCCACCGCACGGCCGTCAGCACAAGGCAAGCGCAGTGAGAGGAAGAGCGGGGCGGCAGCAGCGGTGGATGCACTGCTGGGGGCGGGCCAGTTTCTCTCTGCCCCATTGCGTCCGTCCATTCTCCCATTCCCCTCCTCGTACCTTCCCTTGCATACAGCTGTGGCCAGGCCGTCAGCACAAGGCAAGTGCAGTGAGAGGAAGAGTGGGGCAGCAGCTGCGGTGGATGCGCTGCTGGGGGCGGGCAGAGGGGCGTTTGGCAGCCTCGAGTGGTGGACTGCTGGCTCGGGCCTGGGCCTGCTGGGTGCTGCGCCTTCTGCCTCCCGCCCTGCTGCTTCAAAGCAGGTGAGTGTAAGTGAAAGAAACTAGGAGCTGTAGAATTTTGAGGAAGAATTGTTGACATTAGCTCAAGAGAGCACAAGATTATTCAAGGGAGAGAAGGTTGGAGAAGAACACCAAACCTAGCACATAAGACACCAAGACCAAGTAGGCCAGTGGGAGGAAGGACCATCCAACCAACCCTAGTGGGGTGGTGGCCAACCAACCAAAGTTGGTTGCCCCATTTGGCCAACAAGGTTGGAGCCAAGTCTAAGCTAGGATATTTGGGTTCACCCCAATTAGGGTATCTACCCGCAATACACCCAAAACTAGAGCCTGAACCAACCCAACTGTACACCACTCTTGGTGTACAGTCACAAGTGTTCGCATGCTATAATAGATAAATTCTAACACAACCCCTTAGCATGCGAACACATGAAGAGAACAACCCCTGAATCAAGGGGCGCCCGGGCGAGCAAGGCCAAGGAGGCGGAGCAAGGCAGAGTGCGCAGGGCGAGAGAGAGCTTTGGTGAAGATGTCAGCCAAGTTTGCCTCGGCCGTAATTTTCCGAACGGCAAGAAGTCCCTGCCGGACGAGCTCGCGGATGAAGAAATAGCGCAACTCGATGTGTTTGGAGCGGGCGTGGTAGACATGGTCCTGGGTGAGATGGATGGTGCTGGCGTTGTCACACCAGAGGGTGGGGCAGCGCTGAGGAGCGCCCAGCTCAGCAAGAACATCGCAGAGCCAGCGTAGAGCTCAGCGTCGCACAAGGAGAGAGCAATGGCAGAAGAATGCGTGGAGCGCCAACTGACAAGGCCGCTGCCAAGGGTGAAGCCATAGCTCTGAGAGGAGCGGCGGTCCGGCTGCTTAGCGGCCTGCCAGTCGCTGAAGTCCGAGAGGAGAGGAGGGGAGGGGCCGCCAAGGGTGAGGACATGGTCCTTGGTCCCGCGAAGATAGCGGAGGACCCGCTTAGCGGCCTGCCAGTGCTTGGTGGTGTGGAGGCCGGTGCCAACGAAGCGCGCAAGCACGCTGATGGGGTAGGCAAGGTCGGGACGGGTGCACATCATGGCATACATCAGCGACCCAACAAGCTCGGCACAAGGGTGTCAGGAGGAGGAGGGAGAGGTGGGTGGGGCAAGCTGGTGACTGAAAGGTAGAGGGGTGGACACGGGCTTGGCCTGCGCCATCTCGAACTTCTTCAAGACCTGGCCGATGTAGTGGGATTGGGAGAGGGTGATGGTGCGAGCAGGGCGGTTGCGCGTGATGGCCATGCCCAGGTAGTGCGTGAGGTCGCCCAGGTCCTTGCATTTGAGACGTTGCTGCAGCGACAGCTTCATCTGCTCCATGTCAGCCTTGGAGTCAGATAGTAGGATCATGTCGTCCACATACACCAGAATGAAGAAGCGGCGAGAGGAGGAGCGAATGAAGAGGCTGGCGTCAGAGTGCGAAGCAGAGAAGCGGAGGGACCCCAAGTTGGCAGACAGCTTCGCATGCCACTCCCTTGGTGCCTGCTTCAAACCGTAGACATGGCGACGCAGCTGCCACACAGTGTTTTCAGGAAAGGCTGCGTGGAAACCAGGGGGCCGCCGGAGGAAAATGCGCTTGTGCAGGTCACCCTGTAGGAACGCGTTGGAGACGTCCATGGAGCAGATCTCCATGTTGTCCTGCGCACCAATGTCGAGGAGGATGCGAAGGGTGGGCGGCTTGGAGGTGGGGGCGAAGGTGAACCAGTAATCTTCGGCCCAAGTCTGCGTGAAACCCTAGGCGCAGTAGCGTGCCTTGTAGACTGGCTCCTCACCCGGCAGTTGCTTCACCCGAAAGACCCATTTGCCCTCGACGAGGTTGGCGTCGGCTGGGAGGGGGACATCGACAAAAGAGTCGTTGCAAATGAATGCCTCACACTCCTGGAAGATCGCCGCTATCCATTTGTCCGCGTCAGTGCAGGTGATGGCCTCTTGGAAGGTGGTGGAAGTGAAGATGGTGGGAGTGAAGGTGACGCCAAGGACAGGAAAGCCGCGGAAGTCGAGGTAGAGGGAGGCAAGGAAAGGTGTGTGTTGCCGAATGTTGAGGAACTCCTCATGGGAGTCCTCGAGGAGCTGAATGGAGGCGGGGGGGGGGGCTCCAATGAGTTTGTCCAGGGAGCGGGTGTGCATGCGAGGGAGGAGGAAAGGGGAGGAGCGGGAAGTTGTGTGTCGCTGCTGCTGCTTCTGGTGCTGCTGCCCCTGCTGCTGCTGCTGCACCGGCTGCTGCTGCAGCTGCTGCCCCGACTGCTGCTGCTGCTGTTGCTGCTGCGGCTGCTGCCCCTGCGGCTGAGGGGGAGAGTGAGAGGAGGAGGGAGAGGGGGGAGGGGGTGTAGCTGAATGCGCTGGAGAGGCGGGTGCGGAAGGGTCGTAGATGTCGGCAGAGGAGGAAGGTGGGAGCGGAGTGGCGCCCGGTAGGAGGAGGGGTGCGGGGGAGAAGAGGGGTGGGAGGACGGTATCGGTCCAAGCCAAGGGGCGGGAGGGAGGGGGAAGAGGGTCAGGAGGAGGAGTGGAGTAGTAGGGAAGGGACTCGTCGAAGACGACGTCAATGCTTCGGATGACGCGACCGGAGGGAGGGTGGAGGAACATGTAGCCTGGGGAGTCGCGATTGTGCTCGAGGTAGACGCACTCCAGTGCACGCGAGGCGAGCTTGCCAGCAGCGCGGGAGCAATCAGCCGGAGGGATGAGGACGAACGCCTTGCAGCCCCAAACGCGAAGGCCAGCAGCATCAGGCTTGGCCTTAGACCAAAGTTCTGTGGGGGAGGAGGAGGAATGCTGAGGGTGGGAGCGAAGATTAAGGAGGAGGGCAGCATGGAGGAGGGCATAGCTCCAGAGGGAAGGAGGGGTGGAGGCGTGAGCAAGAAGGCAACGAGCAATCTTGGTGATCTCACGAATGCGACTCTCAGCGATGCCGTTCTGCTGAGGGGAATGGGGGAGGGTGTGGGTCTACTGAATGCCGCGGGTTTTGCAGTAAGTGGCGAGGGTATGATTGAGGAACTCACCCCCACCATCAGAGTGAAGGCGGCTAATGGGGCGTTTAAAGTGTGTGCGGCACTGCTCAGCCCAGGCAATGACCACAGCCGGCACTTGATCCTTCGTGTGAAGGAAGAAGACAGTAGAGTAACGACTGTGGTCGTCGAGGAGGACGAGCATGTACCGGTGCCCCTGGCGAGAGCGGATGGGATAAGGGCCCCACAAGTCCATGTGAACAAGGTCAAGGGGAGCAGCTGCGAAAGTGGGATGGCTGTGATGGGGAGACTGTTTGAGTTTGCCATGAATGCAGGATGGGCATGGGGGTGCGAGAGAGGAAGGGAGGGGAGGAAGAGTGGGGGGGAGGCTGTCGAGGAGGCGGAATGTGATGGCAGTGCGAAGTGCAGCGAAGTTTGGGTGGCCTAGTCTGTGATGCAAGAGCAAAGCATGGTGGGAGAGGTGATTAGAGGAGGAGGGGGATGGAGTGGGGGAAGGAGAGGGGGAGGAGGATGAGGGGGACGACGTAGGGGAGGAGGATACCTGGGGGGGAGGGGTAGGGGGAGGGGTAGGGGGAGGGGTAGGGGGAGGGGTAGGGGGAGGGGGAGGGGGGCCGGTGGAAGTGCCAGCACGAGTGGTGACCTGACAGAAGGAGGGACGAGGTGTGCGGAGCGTGTAAAGGCGAGTGCGAGGGCAAAGGGGAATGCGTAGGAGGAAGCGACCAGAAGCAGTGTTGTAGAGATCACAGTAAGAAGCATTACCAGGGTGAATAGCGGTAATACCAGCGCCTTGTATCTCACGGTGGGAGAGGAGGTTGTTGCGAAGGGTGGGGATGTGGAGACCTGTGACTGTACCAGATGGGAAAGCGGGGCAAGATAGAGTGGAGAGGTGAGTGCATGGGATGGAAAAACTGGTGTCGGCACTGTGAACCTGAGTGGGAAGAGGAAGGGGAGTGAGAGTGCCAGTATCCTTCAGTGCGGTTTCTGTGGCCCCACTATGAAGGACAAAGTCCAAGGTGGGGGAGGAAGGAGGGGGAGGTGACACGGTGTACTGAAAAATCGTCTCATTAATAGCAGAGGGATACATGGAAGCGACAGACGGTGCAACGGTAACATGACCAAGGAAACCGCCCTGGGTGTCAGAGACAGTGGGGGGGGCAGAGGGGTAGCCACAGTATGGCTGCTGCTAGAGAAGGGGCTGCTGTGGCTGGGGAGGATAAAGGAGGAGGGGGGGACCCAGGAATCCCGGGTGATGCTGTGGCCCCAGGTACTGCTGCTGCTGCATAGGCAGAAGGCCCTGGAACCCCGGGTGCATCTGCTGCAGTTGCTGCTGCTGTTGCTGCTGCTGCTGCCGCCGCCGCCGCCGCTGCGGCAGCAGCCGCTGGCAGTGGTGCTACAGGTGGAGGGACGTCACCTCCCGACGTCCCACCTGTAGCACCACTGCCAGCCCCTCCACCTCGACCACCACCGCCTCCGCCACTCCCTCCACCACGACCCTTGCCACCACGCCCCCCATGCCCTCCGCGTCCCTGTGTGAAGTTGAGGGTGGAGGGGGACTGGCGGGTAAGCTTGGCTTTAGTATCCATGTGGTGACTTCGGCAGCCGTGGCGTGGGGAGAGAGAACAATGTCGTGGGCGATGCGGTGCATCTCATAAGCCGGGGTGAGTCCCTCGAGGATGCGCCAAATGAGGAGGGGGTCGTCAATAGTGGCCCCACGCTCCCGAACACGCCGAGCTGTGTTGTTGAGGCGACGGGTATAGTCAGCTGCGCCGGTGCAGTTGTCAAGGGTGATAGCGTTGAAGTCACGGTAGAGGGCATGAAAAGATGCCATGTCCCGACGGTCATACAGATCACAGAGGGCGCGCCAGAGAACTGCAGAGGAAGTGGCGTCAAGCTCACTCTGGAGCGAGGTCGGGATGCAGGAGTTGATGAGGCCAATAGCCCGAGTGTCGTCAATGCACCAGGCGGCATGGCGAGTATTGAAATCAGTCAGTTGGAAGGTGTACGACGTCTTATCAGCAGCGTACTTCGCATGAAGGGCAGCAGCCGAGGTGTGAGCAGCAAGGGCTGCCTTGTGGGTATCCATCAGTCGCGTGTGTGTTGCTACCTCCTCCGCGTAGGTGGTGAGGCGCGAGGCATTGGTGGTGTTGTAAAAAAACGAGGCGAGGGAGATCGGGCGGGCGAGGTGCTTCGCCAGGATGGGGTGGTGAAGGAGGAGGTTCAAGACCAAGGAGGGGAGGTGGCTTGGGCTCAAGGCCATCCGGTTCAGCAAAGACAACAGAATGGAGGTTGACACCGCCAATAATGGTGGAGCGGAGGACACCGGTGAGGCTCTGTGAGAAACGGTGCCAATTCAGTGCTGTAGTGCCATCCTGGACTTCCAGGCGAACAATGGAGCCAGTATCAATAGGCACGGAGTCAGTCGCCATGAGTGCTGCTGCCACCGTTCAGCTCTGCCACTGCTGCTGCCCAGTCACGCTGTTGCTGCTGCCCAGTCACGCTGCTGCTGCTGCCCAGTCACGCTGCTGCTGCTGTCCAGTCATGCTGCTGCTGCTGTCCAGTCCTGCTGCTGCTGCTGTCCAGTCACGCTGCTGCTGCTGCCCAATCACGCCGCTGCTGCTGTCCAGTGCTGCTGCTGCTGCTGTCCAGTCCTGCTGCTGCTGCTGTCCAGTCCTGCTGCTGCTGCTGTCCAGACCTGCTGCTGCTGCTGCCCAGTCACGCTGCTGCTGCTGTCCAGTCACGCTGCTGCTGCTGTCCAGACATGCTGCTGCTGCTGTTGAGTCCCGCTGCTGCTGCTGCTGCTGTGTAGGGATCCGCGTGAAATGCAGGGAGGGCCGCGCAGTTGCTCTGCAGGGCTCAGGTAGGTGCTGGAAGAGGTAGCACGATGGGCAGGGAGGCTCGCGTGGCTGGCGGCAGGGGTGGCGTGACGCTTAGAGGGGCCCGTGCGATTGCGAGGAGGGGTGACGCGGCGGGCAGAAGGGCCTCTGCAGCTGCTGGCAGAGGTGCCGTGACGGTCAAATGAAGCAATGCGACCGCTAGCAGAGGATTCGCAAAGGTTAAAACGATCCGCACGACTGCTGGCAGGGACTTCGCGACAGTGAAATTGACCTAATCACTGGAGGAGGAGATTACATGACGGGTAAAAGGAGCCGTGCGATTTCAGGCAGGGATTTCGCGACGAGAAAGTGGGAGGGCGCACTACGAGCTGCTTCTAGCAGAGGTGTAATAAGTTCACGTTCAGAAATGTTACTTGGTTGAGTAGGCCTAGGATCTAGGGCGTTTGCCTTAGGCTCTGATACCATGAAAGAAACTAGGAGCTATAGAAACTTGAGGAAGAATTGTTGACATTAGCTCAAGAGAGAACAAGATTATACAAGGGAGAGAAGGTTGGAGAAGAACACCAAACCTAGCACATAAGACACCAAGACCAAGTAGGCTAGTGGGAGTCAGAGGAAAGACCATCCAACCAACCCTAGTGGGGTGGTGGCCAACCAACCAAAGTTGGTTGCCCCATTTGGCCAACAAGGTTGGAGCCAAGTCTAAGCTAGGATATTTGGGTTCACCCCAATTAGGGTGTGTACCCACAATACACCCAAAACTAGAGCCTGAACCAACCCAACTGTACACCACTCTTGGTGTACAGTCACAAGTGTTCGCATGCTATAATATATAAACTCTAACAGTAAGGGCTTGGGGTCATGCGCTTGTTAGCTCGCCCTGCTGCTGCTGCGCCTAGAGAGGTCGGATGCTGCTTCCCCATTCCCTGCTGCTTCACTGATTTCTAAAGAGCAGCTCACTCACACACCTCGTGATGGATTCTGTTTCCCTTGTTCCTGTGGTTCCCCTCATGCCTCATGGCCGGTGCCCCATGCCCCATGCCCCATGCCGCATGCCCCATGCCCCATGCCTGCACTGACCTTGCACCCCCCCCAGGGCCACGCATCGGTGGGGCGGTGACAGACGCACTACCACATGCCCCTTACCTGCTTCTCGCCTTCTTCACCCTATATAACCTTGCAACCCCACACACAGGGCCATGCGTGGGCATGGGCGGTGACAGACGCCATACCAGATCTCGACCGTGAGTTTGCCGTGATCGAGCCTGACATGGCCATGTCCTTCCCCTTCAACCTCGACACTTTCCAGAAGGAGGTGAGGCATGTCTTTCGTGATGTAGGGTGTTTTTACAACTCTCCTCGCCTTTTCAGATTAGTAGAATTAGTTCGCTCTTAGTAGGCTTGCTGCGGGTCAAAACCAAGTAATTTCAACTTCAACCTCGACACCTTCCAGAAAGAGGTGAGCCATGACCTTCACGTTTTAGCGAACACCATCTAGATGCCATGACTTGTAGAATAGCCTTCCCCTTCGTGATGCGGTCATCACACCACCTCAATCGAGCCCCACATGGCCATGTCCTTCCCCACATGGCCATGTCCTTCCCCTTCCACCTCGACACTTTTCAGAGAGAGGTTGGTCATATCAAGGCTGGGAGGAGGTGTACTTAGTCCACCCTACACTCTGACTGACCCACTTAGAACTTCTTGCACCGCATTGAACCACAGAAGGTTCTCAGCCTTCTCAGAGTGCTTCCTTCGGCCAACTAAGTTGCATCATTAAAGCTTGACTATCCTTTCTTGCTTTCCTTTTTCCATGCCCTCCCTCTCAAGTTTCTATCGCCTTTCTGCCCTGCCTCTGCCCCTCTCCCCTTCTCCCCCTCGCACCCGCACCTCCACCATCGGCAGGCCATAATCCATCTGGAGCGCCACGATTCGGTCTCTGTGGCCGCACACACATCAGCGTTGCTTTTGAGAGTTCTCATAAGCGCCTTCCCACCACTACACCTCTCACCGGTCTACTCCCATGCCATCCATTCCACCCATGCCCCACTGGCAGGCCATAATCCATCTGGAACGCCACGAGTCGGTCTTTGTGGCAGCACACACGTCAGCGGGCAAGACAGTCGTGGCAGAATACGCCTTCGCCCTCGCTGCCAAGGTGCGTGCCCTCGCTGCCAAGGTGCGTGCCCTGCTGCACAGCACCTGCTTGCAGTTGCAGGTCAGGTGCCCATGCGCATTGCAGCCAGCCCCGGTTCAAGCCCGAGCACTCCGTGTTGCCATTTTCTTGCACGTTGCATCTCGCCACACACTCCCTTCCTTGAAGGCCATCAGCAACCAGAAGCTTGTTACACTAACAGCAATGTCGTCTTCCTTCAATATTCCTTGCTCTTATCCCCACACTTACCCGCCCCTCGTCCCCACACCACACGCAGCACTGCACACGGGCAGTGTACACATCGCCCATCAAGGCCACCAGCAACCAGAAGTTCCGAGACTTCAACAAGCGCTTCAACGTGGGACTGCTGACCCCTCCCCATCCCATCCACTTCCACCTATCCCACCACCCCAACCCCTCTGCCCCCCATTCCATCCCCCCTGTCCCCCCTATACCCACAGCACTGCACCAGAGCGGTCTACACATCACCCATCAAGGCCATCAGCAATCAGAAGTTCCGAGACTTCAGCAAGCGATTCGACGTGGGGCTGCTGACGGGCGACCTCAGTGTGCACCCCGAGGCAGCGTGCCTCATCATGACCACCGAGATCCTGCGCTCCATGCTGTACCGCGCCGCTGACATCATTAAGGATATCGAATGGGTGCGTGCTGCTGTTTGTGTGAGCGTGGGTGCATCTGTGTTATCTTTGTGTGGGAGAGTGTGCGCCCCAAGCCGCCTGCCTCATCACGACCACCGAGATCCTGCGCTCCATGCTTTACCGCGCCGCTGACATCATTAAGGATCTTGAGTGGGTGCGTTCTGGTTTTACTTCTTGTGTTAATGTGAGTGTGAAAGTGAGTGGGAGTGTGGGAGTGCGGGAGTGTGGGAGTGTGGGAGTGTGCGCCCCGAGACGGCGTGCCTCATCATGACCACGGAGATCCTGCGCTCCATGCTGTACCGCTCCGCTGACATCATTAAGGATATTGAGAATCATCGAGAGTGTCGTCCTCAACTCAACGCCCTGATCCACCGCTTGTTTTTCTCACGTGCCACTGTTCAAGTGGTGTAACGTTTTTCACGACAAGGAACCATGCAGCCCTTATGTTGCGTTCCTCATGCCTCAACCGCTCTTAACCCCTCTCAACACACGCAGGTGGTGTTTGACAAGGTGCACTATGTGAACGACATTAAGCCATGCACCCCTCGTGTTGTGTTCCTCACGCCTCAACCACTCTCAACACCTTCAGGTGGTGTTTGACGAGGTGCACTATGTGAACGACATTAAACCATGCACCCCTTGTGTTGTGTTCCTCACGCCTCAACCGCTCTCAACACCTGCAGGTGGTGTTTGACGAGGTGCACTATGTGAACGACATGGAGCGAGGGGTGGTGTGGGAGGAGGTGATCATCATGCTGCCGCCCCACGTGGGCCTCATCATGCTCTCCGCCACTGTGAGTTGACCGTCCATGTAGTGTGCACCATACACCATACACCATACACCATGTGCCATGTGCCATGCGCTGCCCCACGTGGTCCTCAACATGCTCTCCGCCACTGTGAGTTCATCTTTGCATGTAGCGCGCACCATATGCACCGTGTGTTGTGCACCATGTGTTATGCACCATGTGTTATGCACCATGTGTTATGCACTATGCATCATGCTGCCTACCCACATGGGGCTCATCATGCTCTCCGCCACTGTGGGTTGATCTTGTGTGCACCATGTTTCATGCACCATGCACCATGCTCCATACACCGTGCTCCATACACCATGCACCATGCACCATGCTCCATGCACCATGCACCATGCACCTTGTGTTAGTGTTAGCCCTCAATCTCACATATTGTACTTGTACTTTTTATATCCTAGCTTGGAGTAGTTTGCACTTTATGTTTGGTTGGGTGTACACCCACATCCCAACCAAACCCAAACGTGATCACCAAGCAATCTCCAACCCACCAATTGGAGATTGCCTTGGGATTACCCCCAATCCCTTGGGCTTGCCCCCAATTCCCTCCCCATCCATACCTTGCTCGTTTCGGATGTAGTTAAGGAGCTTCAAGCTCATTACTAATGTATCGATTCTAAGCTCAAGTTCTAACACCTTGCACCACCACACATGCATGGCACACACAAACTCATGCAACGTGCATGTGTTGTGGGAGCACAGTAATGCTGCTCTTCATCCCAGTAGTAATGCTGCTCTTCATCCCAGTAGTAATGCTGCTCTTCATCCCAGTAGTAGTAATGCTGCTCTTCATCCCAGTAGTAATGCTGCTCTTCATCCCAGTAGTAATGCTGCTCTTCATCCCAGTAGTAATGCTGCTCTTCATCCCAGTAGTAATGCTGCTCTTCATCCCAGTAGTGATGCATGGACCATGCATGCGTGCATGTGGGTTATGTGATTATCATCCATGCTGCATCCATCGCACTGGTGCGCCTGCCCTGCCTCTTTTCCACCTGCTATCCCCTTCTGTTCCCACCTGCTCACTCCCTCTGCCCACCTCTTCTCCTCCCTTCCCTCGTCTCGCTAACCTTTTCTTTCCATCTCCCCCTCCCCTCCTGACACTTCCCCCCCCTCCTGCCCTGTCCACTCGCCTCGCCCGCAGGTACCCAACACCACGGAGTTTGCGGATTGGATCGGCAGAACCAAGAGGAAGAAGATATTCGTTACAGAGTGGGTGCACGGGGAGGGTGCCACAGGGTTGGTGGTACAGGGTGGGTGGCATGGGGTGGGTGGGTTTGTGTATGAGCACTTGTGTTGTAACCTCTCCACTCCACCTCCCCACTCTCGCTCGCTCCCATGCGCGTGTCTCTCCAAATCCACCAGTCTCTTCACTCTTTCCGTCCACCAGTCTCTTCACTCTTTCCGTCCACCAGTCTCTTCACTCTTTCCGTCCACCAGTCTCTTCACTCTTTCCGTCCACCAGTCTCTTCACTCTTTCCGTCCACCAGTCTCTTCTCTCTTTCCGTCCACCATCAGTCTCTTCACTCTTTCCGTCCACCAGTCACACGCCACACGCCACACGCCACATTCCTGTAGGATCAGTTCACTTTGGCACTCTGTCTATCCAGCCTTTCATCTTCAGGACCCCTTTGCTCTGTTCCCCTTACCAACTCTTCTCATAACCCCCTCCCCGCCCCCCTCCTCCTTCACCCTCCTCTCCTTCCACCTCCCCCCCTTCCCTTTTCATCTTCCCCACCACCACATGTCGCCCAGTGCCCGTGGACCACAGCATATACTACGGGGGCCGCCTGCACCGCATCTTTTCACTCATTTGCACCGCATAACACCTTACTGATTCCCTCCTTGCCCTCCCCTCTTTCCGCCTGTACAACCCGGCGTCCAGTGCCATTGGAGCACAACATATACTACGGCGGGCGCCCCCACCGCATTTTTGACCGCAGAGACATCGACAGTGCTGCCCTGCGCGCCCTGCACGCCCTTTTAGGCACCTCAAACCCCCTCCACCCTCCCCTCTCCCCCAGCAAGCACCACGCGGCGCCCGGTACCATTAGAGCACATCATCTACTACAAGGGCCGCCTGCACCGCATCTTTCCACCCTAAACCCGAAACCCTTTCCCCCTTCTCCTCTTCCTCACGCGGCGCCCAGTCCCTCTGGAGCACAGCATGTAACGGGGGCTGCCTGCACCGCATATTTGACAGCGGGGACATCGACACTTCTGCCCTTCGCGCGCTGCATGCCTTTTGAGGTGCCTTACCCCCCCACCCCCCACCCCCCTGCCCCCTCCCTCCAGCACCACGCGGCGCCCAGTGCCTTTCGTTAACCTGCTTCCCGTGCGTTGCTCTCCCCTTGCCTTCGTGTCCCGTCCTGTCCCCTCACCTCCCCTCCCCTCCCGTCCCCTCCCGTCCCCTCCCGTCCCCTCCCCTCCTTTCCCCTCCCCATCTCACTCCTAATGATGTTGGTGTGTTCATTTATGAAACAGTTCGGCCGATGTTGTTCCCCTGCTATCTCCATTCCGCGTCGTATGTGTCCGTCCCTCCGCATTCGCCCATGTCCTCTCGTGTTCCGTTCGTTCCCTTGTTCCCCCCTCCATGACACGCCATGCCATGCCATGCCATGCCATGCAGTACCTCCCACTTTCCGCCCTCCCATTCATGCGACCCATCCAACTTCATGCTCACGTGGTGTTGTTCTGCCTCTCCAGGCGCCTTCACAACGAGTCATTGCCCTAACGAGCGGTAGCTCCATCCCACCCCCTACCACCCCTTCCCAACCCGGGCCACACCCAGGTGGTGGTGTTCTGCTTTTCCAAGCGGCGCTGTGACGAGTCAGCGGACAGTCTGACATCGGTGGATCTCACATCAAAGAGTGACAAGAGCGCCATTGTCATGTTCTGTAACGCCGCATTCGCACGCCTCAAAGGCAGTGACAGGCATTTGCCGCAGGTGCAATTGGGTTCAGTGCGGTTGGTTGGGATGGGTGCAGTGCAGTTGAGTAAGACTAAATGTGCAAATCACATGAAAGAGTGACGAGAGCGCCCATTGTCATGTTCTGTCACTCCGCCTCTCCGCTCGACTCAAAGGCTCCGATAGGCACCTGCCGCAGGTGGGCTTGCTGGTGCACCACTTGCAGGTGAGTGATGTTGTGGATTGGATTCCCTGTGCAAAGCAGACGTTACTGGGTTGCTGCCAGCCGAGCTGCCAACGGCGTTATGAGTCGCTGTTGTTACAGCATGTTGGCTGGTGGGCACATCCATGGTGGGCACATCCATGGATTAGCCTAGAGAGGCCTTCCTGGTAGGCAGGCATCCCATGCGCTGGGTGATATGCTGCTGATCCCGCACGTAACAATGCACCTTACAAGCTACCTGACGTACCATCTGACCTGACTGACATGCATCTGACACACGCACACACCCACACCACCTGACACCCCACCACCTGACCACCCACCTGACGCCCCACACCTGACGCCCTCCCTGGCAGGTGGAGCGCATATCAGAGCTGCTGCGGAGGGGCATCGGGGTGCATCATGCGGGGCTACTGCCCATCGTGAAGGAGGTGGTGGAGATGCTCTTCTGCTCTGGGCTCATTCGAGTAAGCTTGTGTGGAATCATGTGCATACGAAAGGTAGCACCATGCACAGGTTGTTTGGTTGGCACAAGAAGCATCACTACACCTGAAAGAAGGCCTTTGTCTTACATGCTTCCTCCCTGCTCTGTGCGATGCCCTTCCCTTCTCTGTCCTTTGCTGTGCCTAGACCTCTCTTCTGCTCTTCTCTGCTGCTCGACTCTGCTTCGCCCAACCCTCTGATCTCTTCAACCCGCTGTTCTGATCTGCTTTACTTTATGCCGTGCCCTTTTCTGCTCTGCTCTTCTCTGCGCCCTTACTCTGCTGTATGTCGTGCCCGACCTCATGCGCGCCACCAGGTGCTCTTCTCCACTGAGACTTTCGCCATGGGCGTCAATGCTCCTGCTCGCACTGTGAGTGTGGTGATGAGGGGTGGTGAGAGGTGACGAGGGTGTTGAAATTGAATATAAGCCTCAATGTTTTGTTAAGAAACTGTTTTGTATTGTACATATCTGTTATGGAGATAGTGTAACAGAATTTAGGCTGGCTGGCCAACTGTAAGATTTGTATCCAACATAACCCATCCAAAACCCTCTAGTACTTCTTCTGGGTTTTTTCTTTAAGTCCGCCTTTTATAGGTTGTTCTGCTACAGGGGTGGTGCATTGGATGCTCCACTTGACTGCATTTTCGCTTGCCCTTTCCACACCCAATTTTTGGCTCTTCCCTTTCTCAATTGGCATTCCACACACTCAAAGAAATGCAATTGCTCTCATGCCCATCTCTCATGCTTTCATACTCACGCCTGTCTCTCTCGTCTCTTTGCCTCTTCTCCTCGTCCCCTCCATCGGTGGCCTTTCACTCACTCAAGAAGCACGACTCATGCACTCACGCACCCTGCTCATATGCTTCGCACTTCCCTTACCCACCTCTCTCGTCTCTTTTCGTCTCTCCCTTCGCTCTCGCTCTTCCCCTTCATCAGGTGGCCTTTCACGCACTGAAGAAGCATGACGGTCGCTCCTTCCGCATGCTGCTGCCAGGGGAATACACACAGATGGCAGGCAGGGCGGGCAGGCGAGGGCTTGACAAGGTGAGGTGGGGTGAGACAAGGTGAGGTGGGGTGAGACAAGGTGAGGTGGGGTGAGACAAGGTGAGGTGTGGTGAGACAAGGTGAGGTGGGGTGAGACAAGGTGAGGTGTGGTGAGACAAGGTGAGGTGTGGTGAGACAAGGTGAGGTGTGGTGAGACAATGTGATGTGGGGTTGTTGTGAGATCAGGCTGCAGAGGTGACAAGGCAAAGACATGTGACTTCAAGGGCAAGCACATGTACTCTGACAGTTGCTCCTTCCGCATGCCGTTGCCGGGGGAATACACACAGATGGCGGGCAGGGCAGGCAGGCGAGGGCTGGACAAGGTGAGACGGGTTGTGAGGTGAGGCTGTGGATTTGATAAGGCAAGGACATGGGAGCTGATAAGGCAAGGTGAGTGGCTTTAAGTTCAGGCTGCACACTTAAGAAAACAAGGTGGGTTCAGAGATGTGAATCGCAGCTTGCGACTTCTGCATGCTCTTAGTACACGCAGATGGCAGGGAGGGCGAGCAGGCGCAGACTGGACAAGGTGAGACGGGGATGTTACGAGGTCAGGTTTCAGTGTTGACAAGCCAAAGACATGTGACTGATAGGGCGAAGATACATGAGTTGGCTGGTCCTTGTGCATGCTGCCGCTGCCGCTGCCGCTGCTGCTGCTGCTGCTGCTGCTGCTGCTGCTGCTGCTGCTGCTGCTGCTGCTGCTGCTGCCAAGGTGGGCCCAAGTAAATTCTCCATCGCTTTACCGTCGTGCTGCACCCCTTCATTGTCCCCTGCAGCTGGGTATGGTCGTCGTCTTCTGCTGGGAGGGTGTGGAGGAGAGTTGAGGTGTGTGACGATTCCTCATTAGTTCTGTTGCACCTTGTCCCTTCACCCTCCCTTCCCCTGACCCTCCCAGTTCGGCACGGTGCTCATCTGCTGCTGGGAGGACTAGGAGGAGGCCCCCTCCTCTCTCACCCTCCCTTTCTGCCATCCTGCTCCCGTCACTTCCCCTGTCCCCCCCCCACCCAGTTCGGCACAGTGATCATCTGCTGCTGGGAGGGCGAGGAGGTACCAAGCGAGGTGGATCTGAGGCGGGTGCTGACGGGCAAGGCCACGAAGCTGGAGTCGCAGTTCCGCCTCTCCTACGCCATGATCCTCAACCTGCTGCGGGTTGAGGACCTCACTGTGAGTGGAGTGAATCTTTTCCCCCTCCGTGTACCTCATTGTACACAGTAATCGCCCCCTCATGCCTCTTCTACGCCATGTTCCTTGACCTGCTGTGCGTTGAAGACCAGACCAGACCCTACGGTGAGTTACCCCCACTCCAGCAGTACGAGGGCGGAAAGTGGTCAGCTTACAGGTGACCCCCCTACAGGTGATCCCCCACCCTCTACCTCTCTCCTACGCCATGATCCTCAACCTGCCGCATGGTGAAGGCCACACCACATGCTGTGACTGACCCCCACCACACCGCCCCTGCACTCAGGTGCAGGATATGCTGACTGAAGCAAGCAACATCCCAAAGACCTTGCAAAGCATGAACCACCTTCCCACCTTGCACCCGCCCTCGCTGCTATGGCGATCCGCGCCCCTGCCACCAGGTGGAGGACATGTTGAAGCGCAGCTTTGCGGAGGCACACGCACAGTGCCTGCTACCCCAGCAGCAGAAGATGCTGCAGGCGGGCGAGCACGCCCTCGCCCAGCTCGCCAACGCACAGCCCATCAGGTACTGTACCTTCACGGTGCCCTGTTCATTTTATGAGAGCTTTCAAATTATGTGACGACGCTTGCCATGCCATTGCCAATCTTCCTCTAGCTGCACATTTTTCTCTCTCGAGGACGCGCTTGGGCGGCCGCTTGTTCATATCATACAGCACTCACTGCAGCCACGTCGTGGCATGAAAGGTTCTCAACTTCCCCTTCCCACATTTCCCTCTCCTCCTCGTTCCCCTCCGATCATTCCCCTCCGATCATTCCCCTCCGATCATTCCCCTCTGATCATTCCCCTCCGATCATTCCCCTCCGATCATTCCCCTCCGATCATTCCCCTCCGATCATTCCCCTCCGATCATTCCCCTCCGATCATTCCCCTCCGATCATTCCCCTCCGATCATTCCCCTCCGATCATTCCCCTCCGATCATTCCCCTCCTAACTCACCCGTTCTTCCCCACAGCTGCATCCTGGGCGACCCCTCGCTCATAGAGGACTACTATGGCGTGGCTGGCTGCCATGAGAGCCTCTCAACAACCTTCCCTGTTCCCTGATTCCTTCTTTCCCTCTCCTCTGTTTCCCTTCGTACGCACACCTCCGTCCCCCGCAGCTGCATCCTGGGCGACCCGTCACTCATAGAGCACTACTATGACGTGGCAAGTGAGGCGCGTGAGCTGGATGCAGCCCTGCATGACGTGGTCATGAGATCACGACAGGCCTCTCAGCTGCTGACACCTGGCAGGGTCGTATTGGTGCAGCCGGCTGAGGTGAGTGGGTGGCGGTACTCTGTAGATGCGAAACGGGGGTGCATGAGAGGGTGGGTAGGGGGTTGGGGTGGGGGGATGGGGGACTTTTGAGTCGACTCAATTGTGTTGTGTGCCATTGTAACAAGGTGAGTGGGTGGCGGTACTCTGTAGATGTGAAACGAGGGCGCATGAGAGGGTGGAGTGGGGAGGGGGAGGAGTGGGGCAAGAGCGTTACAATGGGTGTGAGGCAAGGAATTGGGTGGAGCAGGAACACGGAGGGCAATATGGATTGAAGAAAACACACCATACGGCTCATACAAATCTATCAATGTGCATACAGATTGATACAAGTGCATACACATTGATCAATGTGCATACAGATTGATACAAGTGCATACACATTGATCAATGTGCATACAGATTGATACAAGTGCATACACATTGATCAATGTGCATAGAGATTGATACAAGTGCATACACATTGATCAATGTGCATACAGATTGATACAAGTGCGTACACATTGATCAATGTGCATACATACTCTTCACTGACTCTCCCCTTTTCAGATCCACCCTCTGCTTCCTTTCAATGCCCACAGTTCCCTACCATCCCGCTGCACTGATTATTGATATACATTCACACTCAAAAACGTGATTGCCAGTCACCTGTATTGCTGCGCCTGCTGCACTGGGCCTTCAGATCTCCTCATTCTGCTGCCTCATCCTCCCAACTCCCCTCCGCTATCCCTCCGCCACCCGTCAATTTCATTCAACTTAACCACCCGCACCACACTCCCCATCCCCTTCCCACACAGCAGACTGCATCGCCCCACATGGCAGCGCTGCTCAAGGTTCCGATCGGCCCGACCCCAGTGAAGCACAAGGTTGGGCGGTGGAGAGTCAACTCCCCTCTCCCTTTCCCCTCCCCTCCCCTCTCCGCGCCCCTTCCCACGGCCCAGGCTGCATCGCCCCACGTGGCAGCGCTGCTGAAGGGCCCATTCGGCCCCACGCCAGCCAAGCACTCCTTCCTCGTGCTCTCCCTGCCGCGATCTTCTGCTGCACATGTACCGGGGGAGAGCGGCGAGGGACACATTGAGGGGTCTGGGAGTGGACAGGAGGGGCGAGAGGAGGAAGGGAGGGAGGAGGAGACGAGGGTGGGGCGATCCTTCAACCAGGTGACAGTGCTGGGCACGGGTCCCAACGGGCCTATAGTCGTGAACATGCGGTTACCGCATCGCGGCACTGTAGCGGGCACGTGTTACACAGTGGAGCAGATCCCTGCCGCCCAGCTTGTGGGGGTGTGCCGAGCCAAGGTTGCTCTGGATGTGCCGAGCCTGCTGGAGGAGGTTCGGGTGCCAGCGTATGCTGCTGCGGTGCAGGCGCTGGTTCAGGTTCGGGAGGAGTGTGCTCCTGCCGAACCTCCCCTCATCGACCCCATCAAAGGTTCTCCATCCATCCTCACTTGATCTCTCACAATCCTCTCTACTAGTGAACCGAATCGTCCATACCTGCAGGTTCCTTGTTGATTGAATTCTCCCCTTCTGAATTGGAGGTGCTTTTGAGAACCTCACAAGCAACTCTTCTATGCCCTTCTTGTCTCTTGAAATTTCAAGCTTGCACTTTTTTTTTTCCGTTCTTACTTCCCACACCAGACCTCAAGATCGCTGACTCAGCAACGGCAGCCATGCACAAGCGCCAGCTGGCGCTGCGGGAGCTGCTGCCGCGCAGCCCGTGCCACGCGTGCCACCGATTGGACGAGCACTACGCTGCTGTCTCCTCCCGCCGCCAGCTGTCGCAGCAGGTATTGTCCGATTGCGCCAGCTGTCAAAGCAAGTAAAGTCTGTTTGTACAAGCTGTCTGTCACTGCAAGTGAAGTGAAGTCCATTTGTGACAGCTGTCATAGCAGATAGAGGCTTTCTATGCCCAGCTGTCACCACAGAACAGATGGAGTCTAATTGTCCTTGGTACAGCAGGGCCGGTACAGGCAATAAAGAGCAACCAAGCTCTGCAGCAATTGCGTCTGGCCTTCACCTCCTCCCGTCTCTCCTCTTCTCTCGTGTGCTCCTCCTCTCCTGTGATCCTCTTCTCTTCTCCTCCTTAAATCGCCTCATCGATGACGACCGGCCAGGCACTGCAGCTGCTGCCTCTGCCGCCGCCTCCTCTCCCCACTCCTCTTAATTCTTGTTTTCCTCCTCGCCTCTCCTCCCCCATCCGCGCAGGTGGAGCAGCTCAAGGCGATGACGAGCGACCAGGCACTGCAGCAGCTGCCAGACTTTCACCTGCGGGTGAGTGCAGTGTGTGTGCTGAGGAGCGTGCGAGACGGGGGTGGGCATGTGAGTGCTGTGGCAGAAGTGGGGATTGGGAGAGAGTGAGTGCAGTGGTGGCATTGGGGATTGAGAGAGTGAGTGCAGTGCGTGCGGTGAGTTGCTTTCCAGATTCACCCAACCCCTCTGCCAAACAGAGAGGGCCATAGCGCCTGGTTTACTCTCAGAAAATTTCAACAGCGCAATACAATTTCCGAGTGCCACAAGAGATGAACAGCGCACACAGCGATGCCTTGCCTCTCACCTGAAACCTCTCGTTCCCTGCACCTTAATTTGAACCCTAAGCCTCTTCCCCCCAGGTGGAGGTCCTCCAGACCCTGGCCTTCACTGATGCGGACCGCATAGTGCAGCTCAAGAAGCGAGTGCCAGCACTCTGCCTCACTTACATGAAGCCTCTCCCCCCCTACTCTTTTGACCCCTCTATACCCTGAGTCCAGGTGGAGGTGCTCCAGACGCGGAGCACCTGCACTATGGGCTTCATAGACGCGGATCGCGTAGTGCAGCTCAAGGGGCGGGTGGCGTGTGAGATGAACAGTGCCGATGAGTTGCTCGCCACCGAGTGCCTGCTAAACCACCACCTCCTTCCCCACTTCCTCACTCTCACTCACCCAAACCTCTTCACCTACCCTAAACCTCTCAGTTTCTCAAATTTTGCCCCTAAACCCCAACTTCTAAACCCTCTTGAACCCTGAGTCCAGGTGGAGGTGCTGCAAACCCTGGCCTTCATAGATGCGGATCGCATAGTGCAGCTCAAGGGGCGGGTGGCGTGTGAGATGAACAGCGCTGACGAGCTGCTCGCCACTGAGTGCCTGCTCAACCACCACCTCGCCGCCCTCTCGCCGCCCGCTGCCGTCGCGCTACTCTCGGCGTTTGTCTTCCAGCAAAAGGACGCGTCGCCGCCCCATCTCACTGCAGAGCTGGCCCATGCAAGGAACAAGTGAGAGGGGGGTGCGGGAGGGGGTAGGGAGGGAATGAGGGGGGAATGGGAGGGGGTAGGTGTGCTGGTGTGCTCTCAGCGTTTCTCTCCCAGCAAAAGGACGCGTCGCCGCCTCAGCTTACTGCGGAGCTGGCTCATGCGAGGAACAAGTGAGGCGGGTCGGGGCGGGGGGAAGGATGATGGGGGGCTGGGAGGCGGTTTGCGTGCTGCTCCGCTTCGGTCGTTGGTCTTCCAGCAAAAGGATGAGTCTCCGACAAAGTTTGCTGCAGCGAGGAACAAGTAAGGCTGGTATGAGGGGGAGGGGGGGTGGGATTGCCTGAGGTGGAGGAGGGGAGGGCAGGGTGTGTGTGTTGTGTGCCTGGCTCTTGACTTGCAACTTGTCTGCCACACAGCCAACTCGCAGTGCAGCTGGCCCTTGTTAGAAACAAGTGAAAAGTGGGAGAATTGAAGGGGGAGGGGGAGAGCTGGGAGGGGAGGTGGAGTTGAGGGTGGTATTGGGCTGGGACGAGGAGGGGGAGGGGGTATTTGTTCTGCTCCCGCTAAGTTGGCTGGTGCTCATGAACACGTGAGGAAAGGTGGGGGGTGGTATGGGAAACGGGGAAAGGTTGGGTTGCTGACGCCTCTTGAATTTGCTGTTTGCCGAACTGGCTCCGGAGCATCTCGGCACCGGTCTGTTTCTCAGTGTACACTGTCAGGGGGCTGCATTACAGGAGTCTGCCTCTACTTCTTTGTCTTGTAACCTCGCACTATGCGCAAACCAGACCACTGCATCTCGCGAGTTTTCCCTGACGACCAGAGGCCCTTCATTGTCCCCCGCTTCCCCCACGATGACCAGTATCGAAATCTTTCTCCATTTCTTACTAGTACAGAACAGGCATAAGCATCAGAACAGGCATAAGCATCTCATGCCCTTGCGGACTTGTGCTCCTGTCATAGGGGGGGAATCGGCGGAATGCCGCTGATTTCTTCCCTGGATATGCACGCCACACCACAATGCATGTGTCTTGTCCTGCCTGCCGCATGCATGCCCCTGCAGGCTGCTGGACCTGGCGTATTTTCTGGGCGACCTGCAGAGGCGAGTAGGGTTGCCCACATCAGCGGAGGAGTACGCAGCAGCCACGCTCAACTTTGGGCTCATGGAGGTGGTCTACGAGTGGGCTCTGGTGTGTCTCCGACACTCCCCTCTTTCTACCTGTGGTTTCCGGCTTGCTAGGACCAATCCTCTTCTTTTGCTGAAGGGTTTCCCCTTTTTCTGCCAGATTCTTTCTCGGCGCTCATCCTTAGCAACATTTTTTTCCCATGACCAAGTTGCCAGATATCACCTTAGATGTAGCCACGTGGTGTAGCGAGGTGTGTAATCAGTCACCCTACCCTCCACTTCGTGTCTCCCAGGGCTCGCTCTTGGTTGCCGTCCAACTGTTAAGCAGCGCAGCCAAGGGCACCAACCTGGGCTCATAAGATGCTCATCTCCCTTGCTTCATTTTCCCATCTGCGTTCCCCAGGGCACGCCCTTTGCTGACATCTGTCCGCTGACCAATGTGGCCGAGGGAACCATCGTGCGCACCATTCTTCGGCTCGATGAGACATGTCGTGAGTTCCGCAGTGCCGCTAGGCTGCTGGGGAATGCGGAGCTCATGGCGACCATGGAGGCGGGGTCTGCTGCCATCAAGAGAGACATTGTATTTGCTGCCTCACTTTATGTCTCATGAGCTGATGAATTTCCATACCTCTGGTGAAGGTTAGTGGTAGTACCATACTGGTAACCATGCGAGATGGAAGTAACAGCTCACCAAGAATGGAGTAAGAACCTTCAATACCAGATGCCACATTACAAAATATATTCATGCAGTGTTGGGCTGAGAAAAGCCCTAAGGATCTTTCAGGACTAAGATCAGGTGTAGAGATGTAGAGATGTAATTGCGGAAGCGTTAATAAAAGGTTGCTTTGAACCACCTTGTACTGGTGTGTGAGAACAAGATAAGTTGAATAATAGCAAAGAGATACTGGCCTTTTATATGATTTCAAAGAATATGAAAAGTTCTACTTTAACTGTTTTTGCTGTTGCGGTTCGATACAGTGCCGACTCGGCGCAGGGTCCTCGCTAGGTTTTGACCCCCCCTGATGCATCAGACGGGCCCGAAGGGCCCGTCTGATGCATCAGAATTTTTGCTTTTGAGTGTCTGACGAATCAGAAATTTTCAAAAACCTCGTCTGACCAATCAATACAGAGTTACGAGTGTGCAGATGCACGTGGGAAAAAATTTGAGTCGAACTTCTCTCTCGCCTGTCACATCCATTCTAAGGGCACACAACACTCACCCTGTCATACTACATTCGCCCCGTCACACCACATTCGCCCCGTCACACCACATTCGCCCCTTTTCACCACATTCGCCCTATCACAAGAGGGGTTCGCACTGCGTATAAAGATTGCAACGAGTCAACCTGTCACAGCAGTGATCCATGCACTGTCACAGGAGAGATTCCCTTCCCACCACTGGAAATCGCGATATGCTATGTTTCAATTTCAGACGAAACAGAAAACAGGTGTCTGATAGAACAGATGGAAACTAAAAACCATTTCTGACCCATCAGACGGCATAATGCACCCATTTCTTGAAAATCAGATGAGTGAAAAAAAATCTGTCTGATTTCTCAGAAAAACAGACAAAAATGTCTGATAGCGAGGGCCCTCGGGTAACTGCTCAGTAACGAGTCAGTTATGTGTCCTTACTGTCGCACTGTACGTTTTGTCAAGTCAAAGGTCGGAGACCTTTGACCTTCGCGTAACCTCCGACGGTTGCCTTGGTTGACTCGAGTGCTTCTTCGCTGTAGTCAGTTCCGTTTCGTGTCAAAGCTTCGATACGACAGAAGCGTTTAAATTATTTGTTTCCAACACCCCCCTTCGCTTCTGGAGAATCGCTGCTGATGACGTGTTCTTGTCCAGTCAGCAGCATGCAGTACTCGAACTTCTGTTTTCCGAGTTTCTTGGTCAAGTAATCAACTGCCATCTCGGATGTGGGACAGTAGGATAGCTCGAGTCTTCCTTTTTCGATTTCGTCTTTTACGAAGAAGTACCGAAGGGCGATGTGCTTCGTTCGATTCGCGAACCCGTTTTTGTTCGCTATGCGAATGGCCGATTGGTTGTCGGAGTAGAGAGAGGAGTTGGGTAACTGGGCCAATTTTGCTTCCTCCAGTAGTTCGCGAAGATATAGCCCTTCCTTGGTGGCTGAGCAGAGTGCGATATATTCTGCTTCTGCTGACGAGAGAGCGATTAGCTCTTGCTTGTTCGACTGCCATGAGATAGGCCCGATAGGTTCGAGTCTGTAGACGTAGCCTGTTCGAGACCGACTGTTGTCGGAGTCTCCAGCATGATCGACGTCGACGTAGCCGATTAGCTTAGGTGTTGCGGTGTTGGTCTTGTGGTAGGTGAGTCCGATCGTCGGAGTGCTGACGAGGTAGTGAAGCGCTCGGTCGAGTTCGAGCATGTGCTCTGCTTCAGGCTTCTTGAGGTAGGTAGTAAGTTGGCTAGCTGAGTAGGATAGATCCGGTCGGCAGGTGACGGCTGCGAAGAGTAGGCAGCCTAGTTTCCTTTGGTAGTCGCGGACGCCAACAGGTTTGAGTAGGGCGGAGGCTTTTCGATTTCCGTCGGTGTAGCGGTATGGCGTGGAGATAGCGGTTGGAATGAGTCCGAAGCGTTTAGCAATAGTGTCAGTGTATTTTGCAGCGCTGAGGTAGATGGCATTGTCGCCGTCTTTGATGTTCAGTCCTAGGTACTGTGTCACGGTGGTTGCGACGGTGAAAGTTAGATCTCCCTGCAGCTCCCCTTCAAACCATGTCGTTACGGTGTCAGTGGAGCCTATGTAGAGAAGGTCATCGACGTAGTCAATAAGTAGAATGTAGTCGGTGCCTTTCGTCAGTCGATACATCCCTTGGTCGTGTGGTAGTTGAAGAAAACCAATGCGAGTTAGGCGGGCGTGAAGATGTTGCTGCCACAGTCTCGGGGCTTGCTTGATCCTGTACAGCGACTTCTCCAGTTGACAGATTTGGTTTGGACCTGTGTTGGACCCGTGCGGGAGTTCGACGAAAATCTCAGCGTCGACGGGGGCATAGAGGAAGGCGTTGGCGACATCGATTTGTCGAAGCTTCTTCCGGTTCATGGCGGCGATCCCGAGGAGAATCCGCAGTGAGGTATGTTGGCTTACTGGGGCGAATGTTTCCGTGAAGTCTCGTCCTTGTTCTTGGTCGAATCCACGCACGACCCAGCGTGCTTTGAACTTGTCGATTGTTCCGTCAGCTTTTGTTTTCACGCGGAAAACCCATTTTCCCATGAGGATGGTTTTGTTGCGTGCCACTTTGATAGGCACGACTTTCCAGGTGTTGCGTTCCTGCAGCGCCTTCAACTCTTTGTCCATGGCTTCATGCCATTTTTCCCTGTGTTCCCCCCCCAGAGCCTGCTGAATGGTAGCAGGCTCCTTAGGTGGTTCTGCTCCGTGGACGGCAGTGACGAGTCCCAGTATTTGCAGGCCACTTTGTGTGTTGCGGGGGAGATTTGTGTCCTCTGGATAAGCTGCTTCGGGGTCTGGTAGGTCCTACGCATTCGGAGATGTTAGTGGCGACCGGTTGAGGTGTAACGTAACCGGTGTCGGCGAAGTCGAAATAAGTTTCGGCGTTGACGCTTTCGCGAGGATTTTCGTCATCCATCGGGATGGGCACGGAGCAGTATGGGAGTGGTCCTGCTTCTTCGGATGCGTTGTCCACATTTTGCTCGTCCCAGTCAGCTTCGTCTGCTGCTGAAGCGAAGGCTCGGTTGCCACGGAAGCCGCCCGTGAGGTCTCGATTTGCTGCCAGGTTGTCCAGGTACGTTCGAAGTGTGAGTCGCTCGTAGAAGATGACATCACGTGCTGCTACTGTTTCCTTCGAGTGGACGTCAAAAATCTTCCTTGCGTTGTAATGATTTTCGATGCCCAGGTGTAGTCCCCACTGTGCGCGTTGAGAAAATCTTCCGGCTCTTGCAGTGTGCGGGCGGTACTGTACCATGCACCCGAAAACTCGTAACATTTTTTTGTTGCCCAGCTTTCCTGTCCACAGCAGGTGCGGTGATGCGTTGTTTGGAAGTGATGACGACGAGAGCAAGTTGTGCAGCATGACAGCGTGGTCCATCGCCTCAGGCCACTGGTGATTGGGCAGTCACATGCCATGCAACAATTTGCGCATGGTGTTCTGGAGAGTTCTGTTCATCCGTTCTGCCACGCCTTGCTGTTGATGGGCGTAGGGAAGTGAGATGAGGCGCTTGATGCCTCGTTCTGCGAGGTACTGCCTGAACCTCTGGGACTGATATTCCCCTCCTCCGTCAGACTGGAAGCTTTTCAGCTTTGCTCCTGATTCGCGTTCTGCCACAGGTAGCCAGGCGACGAAGGCTTCGAAGACCATGTCGCGACTTGGGAGATTAAGATGCCAGACGTAACGGGTGGCGGCGTCGATGAAAGTATGTTAGAATCTTAGGCGAGAATGAATGACTAGGAAGCAAGGAAGGGTACAAGTAGAATGTAGAGAGAATTCTGTACCCCCTAAGGCTAAACCCACTATAGCCTAGACAAATGTAAACACGTGAACTAAGCCTAGATATAACTAAGCATATATGTTTGACACACCCCCATAGGCGAAGTGGGGGATAGCCAGAACAAGTAATGGTCACAAGACCAGTCAAGAAAAGCAAAGCAAGCTCAGGGTGGATCACAAAGTCACCACACAGTCCGAGCACAAGCAAAGGGCCACAAGGCCAGTTCACATGCAGAGTTATATAAAGAGAACAAACAATACAGTGATCATACTAAAGAGTAGTCATCTTCGGGGTGGGGGAGAAGGTCTGGAAGTAGTCAACTCCCAGTCGCTGACTGAAACCTCGAGCAACGTAGCGCGCCTTGAAGGCAGGCGGAGAACCCGGCGGCCGCTTCACCCTGAAGATCCACATTCCATCGACTATGTTCACCCCAGGTGGGGGAACCTCGTCGTCGTAAGTGCCTGTGGACTTCCGGGATGCCATCTCGGCACCCATTGCTGCCTGCCACTGAGAGGAGTAAGGACCCGTAATCGCCTCTGCGTAAGAGCGCGGGGACGGGATGTCAGGAGCATCCGGGTCTCCCTCAGGGGCAAGCAGCAAGGAGGCGAAACGAGGTACAGCAGCTGCAAGACACTCAAAGTCCTCCTGCCTGTCCTCAAGGACGTCCGTGCCAAGAGCACACTCACCCCTGACGGACGGAGGACTGGCAGGCACAGACTCAGCAACTAGAGCAGAGGCGTAGTCGAGACGGCAGGCAGCAGCAAAGTCAAGTAGCTCAGCAACGAGAGCAGAAGCAGCAGCAGACTCAAAGGACGGGACAGTGACAGCAGTGGCAAGGCGACGAGCGACAGTGGGACTGGCAGCACGCGCTCGGTCAGACTCAGGGTCAGGGACCGCATGAAGAGAGGACTCAGGAGGAGGAGGTAGAGGAACACGCAGCGGAACAGAGGAAGGACGGAGTGCCAAGGTGTGTGTGCCTGGGACAGGAGGAGGACGCAGACGAGGAGCACGACGAGCAGTGCGAACAGGAGAGACAGGACGAGACGCAGGCCCACGACGCTCTGTAAGACCTCCGGACTGCTCAGTGTAAGGAGAGGGAACAGGCAGTGGGGAGGCTAGCTGTAACGGCGGCTGCGACTGGTCAGG